CAAACCTGTAAAGGTGATCCGTACTGATAATGGGACTGAGTTTGTATGCTTGGCTAGTTATTTTGCTGAAAGTGGTATTATTCATCAAACCACTTGTGTCGGGACCTCTCAATAAAATGGGAGGGTTGAACGCAAGCACCGCCACATACTCAATGTTGCCCGAGCTTTGCGATTCCAAGCTAGCTTGCCTATTGATTTTTGGGGGGAATGCATCCTGACCGCATGTTATTTGATCAATCAGACATCGTCCATTCTGTTAAAGGGAAAGACTCCCTATGAAATGTTATTTGGGCAACCTCCTTCTTATGATAATGTGCGAGTCTTTGGTTGCTTAGCATATTCGCACAATCATGGCCATGGAGGGGATAAATTTGTTAGTCGAAGCAGACGATGTGTTTTTGTTGGGTATACTTTTGGGAAGAAACGATGGAGCTTGTATGATTTAGAGTCCGACATGTTCTTTGCTTTTAGAGATGTTACTTTCTTTGAGCATGAATTCCCGTATGCATACAAAAAGGATGCACAGCCGAACAAAGCACATGATTGTGGAATAAGTGGGACAGAAGAGGTGTTGGTACCATCCACTTATTCACCTGGACTAGCAAATGGCGAGATGGAGACTAACCAACGAGGTGAACTCGCAGAAGAAGGAATCAGTGTAGAAGAAGGAACCCACGTAGACCCGAATGCCAATACTAGTGAACCCATGCATTCTTCTGACATCACCACAGAAAATGTAAGCGAAGATAGTCCTGACGTCAGGGGGGGTGGTGTTGAGCAACAGCAGCACTCTGATTCTCATTTGGGGCGTGGGCATCGACAGAAACAGCAGTCCACAAGGTTAAGAGACTATGTGCTTCACACCACACAGTGTTTGAGTCCCTCTCTGCGTCCCTTTGCAAGCTCACTCGGCCAATCACATCCTGCAGGTAGTCCTTATTCCATCGATAACTATGTGAATTGTAACAGTTTTTCTTGTCGACATCGTGCTTTCTTGGCACCTATTACTGCAGGAGTTGAACCTACTTCTTTTGCTGAGGCCGTAAAGGATGAAAAATGGAGTGATGCAATGCAGAAATAAATACAGGCACTTGAGAATAATCAGACATGGACCGTAGAGCCTTTGCCATCCGGAAAATGAGCCATAGGATGCAAATGGGTATATCGAATCAAGTACAACGCTGATGGGACAGTGGAAAGACACAAAGCCCGTCTCGTGATTTTTGGGAACAAGCAGGTTGAGGGAATTGATTATAATGAAACTTTTACCCCAGTTGCAAAAATGGTTACTGTCCGTACCTTTCTTGCTGTCGCAGTAGCTAGAAATTGGGAGCTTCATCAAATGGACGTACATAATGCATTCTTGCACGGTGACCTTCATGAGGAGGTCTACATGAGAATGCTTCCTGGTTTTCAGTCAGATAAACCAGGTATGGTGTGTCGATTGCGAAAGTCTCTATATGGCTTGAAACAAGTGCCAAGATGTTGGTTTGCTAAATTAACCGTAGCCTTGAAAACATATGGGTTTCATCAATCAGATTCAGATTACTCTCTATTCACCTTTCGTCGAGATAGGGTACATGTGCTTGTCCTCGTGTATGTGGACGACATTATTGTGTCAGGTAATGATCATATGGCAATTCAAGTCTTCAAGAAATATTTGAGTGACTGCTTCCATATGAAAGACTTGGGACCGTTGAAATATTTTTTGGGCATTGAAGTTGCCCGAAACTCAACAGTAATTTTTCTGTCTCAACGAAAGTATGCTCTGGATATTATCACTGAAGTTGGATTACTTGGTGCAAAACCTACTCCTTTTCCTATGGAGCAGAATCACAACCTGACCTTGACAAATGGGCCTCTCTTATCTGATCCTGAGCGATACAGGCGCTTAGTGGGTAGGCTTATTTATCTCTCAGAAACTCGTCCTGAGTTGTCTTATTGTGTGCATGTCCTGTCCCAATTCACGCAACAACCGCAAGAAAGACATTGGGAGGCTGCATTGCGAGTGGTGCGCTACTTGAAAGGAAATCCTGGTCAATGAATTCTCTTGCGTTCAGATTGTGACTTGCAGTTATATGTATGGTGTGATTCAGACTAGGCGAGCTGTCCTTTGTTCTGACGTTCCCTATCTGGGTGGTTTATTCTACTTGRGAAATCGCCGATTTCCTGGAAAACTAAGAAACAACACACTATGGCTCGTTCTTCAGCGAAAGCAGAGTATCGGTCTATGGCCACGGCCACGTGTGAGTTAAAATGGCTGAAGGGATTGTTATTGGCTCTTGGAGTGACGCATTCGAACCCAATGCAATTATATTGTGATAGTCAGGCAGCATTGCATATTGCAGCTAACCCAGTGCTTCATGAGCATACGAAACATATTGAAGTTGATTGCCATTTTGTTCGTGATGAAATTCAAAATGGTTGCATTCGTCCTGCTTATGTGTCGACTACCGTTCAGCTGGCTAACATTTTTACAAAGGCACTGGGTCACAGAGAAATTGAGTATTTTCTCCGCAAGTTAGGCATTCATAATCTACATGCTCCAACTTGAGGGGGGTGTTAGGATTGAATTGGGAGTCTCCGGAATTAGGAGACTCCGCTGAGTTAGGATCGAATTAGGAGTAGGAATCTCCATTTTGAGTTTGAATTTCTGTAAACTTAGGAGATTCGATGGCTGTGTATGGCTGTGTATACATATCTGAATCTTCAATGAATGAAAACAAGAAAAAGAAGAAACCAGAAAAGCTCTGGTTTAACAAAAGTCCAAATAAATTCTACATTCTTTAGAATTTTCCCAGATTATAAAGCTCTAACTTCTTTAGAACAAGAAGCCCTAAGCCCCAAAGTTGATTATATTCTTTATCTGTTTTCTAACTAGCATTTTAGAATAATCAAATTAGAGAAAAGAAAGAATTTGCATCAGATGAGGAGAGTGCCAAAAACAAAAGCAGGGCACTGTGTTCCTCCTGTACAATTCAGTTTTTACTACACTAGATTTTGCCAAATTATCTGCAGCTATGTTTAGTTCTCTGAGAATCCAGCTGAAGGAAGCCTTCAAAAGAATGGCCATTGGATTTTCATTATATTGTTCTTCTTCTCTATAATTTCTAGGGAATTGATTGGATGATATTGTAAACCTAAATGCACCAAATTGTTGAGATACACGTGAGTGGGTAAGAATTTGCCCAGAACAGTTGTGGTGTCCAACTTTTGTGTGTTTGTCCTATATGTGAACGTGTACAAGCCGTCAAGCCCCTTGGTTTTGATAATTTTCCCTAGTTCCCCCAGGATCAATCAATCCATATGCAACATTCAAATACTAATAATGCCTTACTCCTATAAACAGAACTAGATTTATTTATGTATCCCACCAATTTCTACTTTTATTTTAATTTTTTTTAATCCTACGTATATATATATATATATATATATATATATCTGTTCTATGGATAAATGTAGGCTTATTGACTCTTTCCAATTGAAACATGGTCCAACTTTGACTACGTTGAGTATGTTGATGTGAATGGACACATGGAATGCTCTGCTAGACATTAGATCTTAGTGAGCCCAGCATTGTAAAGTAGTATATCTCAAAGATCAGAGCTGAACTTCCCGGTTTCATGTTTCTGGTGTTACCTATCATTACCTTTCATTTTCACTATGCATTTATGTTCAGGAACATCAAATCAATTTGAAGTCATGAGGTAAGATGTCGTTTCATTTTTTCTTGTTTTTTATGCATTACTTAATTCTAAGTACATCATTTCATCATGAATAAATTGTCTTTATGCTGTGTAGTGTAGAGATATCTATTACAGTGGCTAGTTAGTTAAGAATCTTCTTTCAGTGGTGAGCCAAACTGTGCTTCTGAGGGTAAAATATATATTTGGATCACTAAATACACTTAAATAAAATGATTTCATCTTCACACGTGATTACAAAAAAAAAAAAAAACTGCACAAGTATGTTTTCAAACACTTTCAATAAAAGGAGTTCATTCTATTAATTTTTTCAGGGCATTCCATGCAAGAGCAGTACTAGCATCATGGTAGTACTCCTATGATCACAAATGCACAAAACATGAATAAAGTTTTCATACTTATGCAAACACATAAGGGGTTTTGCAGTTTCAGATTCTGTGATTCTTGTGATGAATTTAACGACTGCATGATTCTACCATTGCTCTTGCTCTTGTATAGGAATGATGAAATATTAACACATACAATGAGATATGATACTTTTGTTTTAATTTTATACTGCAATGAGGGGTGGATTCGAGCTGAACCGAGCCGAATACTTGGTTTTAATTTGATCTGCCACATGGCCATTAATTTTGCCACATCAGACCATAAATGCAGGTGATCCAATCACAACTCACATGACCATTAATTGACCACCTATTTCTTCTTTCTAAAAAAAAAAAAAGTAGAGTTGGGTTTAATTTGACAATTCAACGATTGGGGATTCTTTAATTGTTAAACAAAGGGAAACTTCGAGGAATGAATTGTATTGTTGTGAGAGATTAATATGAACCTTATAATTAAAGGGGTGATCCTTTCATTTTTCAACTGCATACTCGTCGTCTCAAAAGCAACCAGAAGCCGCTAATCTCACTTTTTCTTCATCCACCAAATTTCAAGGCAACCAAGATATGGCAACAACAGAAGATGTGGTGGTATCCCCTTTGCTTCAGGCGTTGCTCAACAAACTGGACTCCTCTCGGATGATCAAATTCATATCTGATTGGGGTGTTGACCAACAGCTGAATAACCTCTTTAGAACACTCCAGGACGCATATGCAATGGCCAGTTCTACAGAGGATATGCAAATCAGTGATCCACGCTTGAAATTCATACTCAAAGACATGAGAGAAGTTGTTCACAAAGCCACTTGTATATTGGACGAGTTCATCTACGAAGCTGTTGGACGGCAAATTTTGAGGAGGAGGAGGAAAAACAGATCTGCACTTCGACGGCTGCTATCAGAAAGGTACGCCGCGAATACTTCTCCTATTCTCTCAATGAGAAAGAAGATTTACATCGCCATGAGATTCATTCTGTCATAACTGGCATCATAAATGAGATGCATGAGATTCAGCAAAAGATGAACCACGATTATGCGAGTTCAGTCTCATCCGTTGGAAGGAATCTCAGTGAAATGGGAAAGAAACTCAACATAGTTTCATCACTAGATTCACGCCCTCAGACTGTTTCCTTAGTTGATGATAGAATTTTTGATAGGAGGGAAGAGGCAAATGATATAATAGACATATTATTATCTGATAAATACAATGGGGAAAAAGTTCCTGTTGTTTCAATAGTTGGTACTGGGGGGATTGGCAAGACCACTTTGGCTCAACTCATTTACAATGATGCAAACGTAGTTAAGCATTTTGATGTGAGAGCGTGGGTATGTGTTTCCCAAGATTCTGATGTTACAAAAATAACTAGATCAATTCTTCAGTCAATCACTCATATACACCAGCCAATTGAACAACTGGAACCACTTCAACAAGAACTCAAGAATTGGTTACAGGGAAAGAAATTTCTACTTGTTCTTGATGATATATGGAGCGATGACCGCAGAACGTGGGATGCGGTAAGGGTCCCAATTAATGTTGCAGCAGAAAAAGGAAGCAGAATAATAGTGACCACTCGGATTAATAGAGTTTCCTCCATTATGAACTCCATAAAAAAAATTGATTTGGAAACCTTGCCATATGAACATTGCTGGGAATTATTCAAAAGGAAGGCTTTTACTGATGACAAAATCTGTGATAAACATCCAAACTTGAAAGAAATTGGAGAGGAAATTGTTAAAAAATGCAGAGGAATGCCTCTAGTAGTGAAATCACTAGGAGGACTTCTATACGATGATCTGGATGTGAAAAGGTGGAAATCCGTCTTAGAAAGTAAGATGTGGGAGGTTGAAGCAGAGGAGACAACAATGTCAGCTCTACGTTTGAGTTATTATTACTTGCCAGCACATTTAAAATTATGCTTTGCATATTGCTCTTTGTTTCCTAAAGACCATGAATTTGATAAGGAAACTCTAGTCCAGCTTTGGATAGCAGAAGGTTTTGTTTCATCTAAAAGAATTGACATTGTGGAAGAAGACCTTGGAGGCGAATACTTTGATGAATTGTTCAATCGGTCCTTTTTTCAAAAGCATTCTAAATTTCGAAAATCATTTATGATACATGATCTGATGCATGACTTAGCAGAGTCGGTTTCGGCAGGCATGTATTTTAGGATGGAGGAGGGCAAATCACATGACAACAACAGTGGCAATCTTAAAATGGTTCATTACGTATCAATGTTTCACTTCCAACCAGATCAGTACTCAATGGAGAAGGAATTATGTAAATTCAAGGAATTGTCAACTTTGTCGTTGATTTTGCCGTTAACAAGGGATTGGCATATCCTAGGTGACTTATTTGAACAATACCGATGCCTACGTGTACTGGATTTGAGTGAAAATTATAGATTGTTCAATTTGCCAAATTCAATTGGCAACTTGAAACATCTACGGTTGCTTAACCTCAACAGGACACGCATTACAGTGTTACCCGAGTCAATGTGCAACCTCTACAATTTGCAAGTTTTGATGCTTAAAAATTGTTATAGTCTCATTGGAATTCCTAAAAACATGGGAAACCTAATCAACCTCCAATACATAGTGATGGGAGATGACAAATGGGATGTTTTCAATCGAATAAGAAGAGGAATTGGGAGATTACATTTTTCGAAGACATTGCCTACGTTTCAAGTGATGAAAAGGAGAAATGGAAACAATAGTACAATAGGAGAGCTAAAAGAATTACGTCATCTCCAAGGATGTATTCGTATTGGGGGGCTAGAGAAGGTGGCTGACTTTGAGGAGGCCAAGGAGGCTAACCTCTTCGATAAGCATCGGATTGATAGGTTGGAGTTGGAATGGAACGATAATAATGAAAGAGGTAGCATGGAGGGTGTACTAGAGGGCTTACAACCATACACAGGATTAAAGCAACTCCAAATAACTAATTATGGTGGCATAAGTTCTCCAAAATGGATGATGATGATGATCGCGTGCTATGATATGCTGACGACAATAAAACTAAGGAATTGCAACAAGTGCAAATTGCTCCCCCCTTTTGGAAATCTACCCTCGCTCGAAGTATTGCATATATCTGAAATGAAGGAAGTGGAACATATAGGAATAGAATTTTATGGATATGGTGATGACAACAATAAGAAGCAGGGATTTCAAAAGCTGCACTCTTTCTCTCTCATGTATGAGTGGTTTGAAGGAATGGTGGGGAGCAGAAGGTGAATTTCCTTGCCTTAAATACCTTTGCATCTATGATTGTCCCAAATTGATCAAATTGCCCCCTTTCTTTCCTACCGTGAAATGTAAAATGGTGAATTTGGAAATCACCAATTGTCCTATGCTTCAATTATTGCCGGAGTTACAAAGTCTTGCATCTCTTAAGTATTTGGAAATCAACGATTGTCCTAAACTTCAATCATTGCCAGAATTACAAAGTCTTGCATCTCTTGTGTATTTAATAATCATCAATTGTCCTATGCTTCAATCATCGCCAGAGTGATAAAGTCTTGCATCTCTTGGGAAATTGATGATAAAAAATTGTAATTATTTATAATTGCCCTTATCCTTATCCTTATGAAGATGGACAGTCGGTTGCAAGTGGTAGAGGAAGATTGGCCCCCAAGATTTCGAAATTTTGTACTCCCGCTTCAAAGCTATTCGGACTTGGGAGAGAGAAAATAGCACATCTTAGTTCTCATCTCAATTCGTTATGTATCGAGCGCCGTACGTAAACCTGAACCCGGCAGAATAGGTATGCGTGACTCTTCGTCTTGTCCAATAGTATTAATATTGATGTTGTTCTTATTAATTGATGGCAGATATCCAACGGTTTTTATTTTATATAGACATCATCTACATGCAAATTGAAATTAGTTGGGTATGGGTAAGATGTAAACACCACTGCTGTCGCATTATTTAGAATTTTTTTTGCAGGGGGATTTATTGCAGATGTGTATAAATAAATAAAAATAAGAGAACCTTTAAACCAATTGGTTGTTTCTCACAATTGGTTTCTGTATTGTTTCATCATTATCACCTWGGATCTATTTGAATGTCATCATTATTTTACTACACTGCTAATACTTTGCAAATTATAATCCTRATCATCTTATATAATCTTTATGTGGGAATTGATTGGATAAACCTTTAACTTCACACGTTCACACCCATCAATCAATTWATACACAACGTTGAAATCCTAGTAACACCTTAATTACTCTCAATCTATCATAAACAAAGCAAATTTAAATGTGGATTTTGACTGTTTTTTATTAAAACAAGTCCCCACAATTTATTGATTGCTTTTCATTTGAAACAGGGCCCAACTTCAGTTGCATTGAATTTGCTGGCTGTTGATATGAACACACGTATGGAGCTAGCATTCAACCTCATCAATCATGTGACCCTGTCAAACCCAGTAAACACCCATCACAGAAAAGCTTGTTGCTTGTCTTCCCCAGCTCATGTTTCTGGTGTTTCCCTACTCATTTTCACTACGCATATATGCTCAGATTGGGAAAGCCAGGAGGTAAGATATCATTTCCTTTTTCTTTCCAGTTTTCTGTAATTAATTAGTAGCCAAAGTGCATCCTTTTATCATGAATCAATTATTTTTATACTGTGTTGTGTATAAAAATATTTATTACAGAGACTAGTTGTTAATTAAGAATTTTCCCTTACRGGACAGCCGTACTGTGTTGTTGAGGCTAAAATATATGGTTGGAATTACTAAATACACTTGAATAAGAGGATTTCATCTGTAGATGCATGGTTTCAAGCACTCTAAACAACTTGCTGGCTTCATTTTAATTACTTTCATCGGCATTCCATATTAGAGCAGTTMTAGCATTAGGGGAGAGTACYCTTGAGATCACAAGTGCACAAAACATGAATAAGGTTTTTCATACATAAGTGGTTATGGAGTTTACATTCTGATGAATTCAAGAATCCATGAATTCCAGTGTTATGTAGAATCGAATCCTACATCCTGCACTTTGGGGAAAAAGGGGTCAAAGAGAATAATACCAAAAAATAAATAAAATAAGAATATGATACTCTGATTTTAATGCTTTACTGCAATATCCTTCCCATACACACTTTGGAGTGTTTAATTAACTACACTCAAGGGTCAAAATGCTTGGGATCAACAGAAGGAGCGGAAACATTGCAATTTTGCATTTCTATAGGGAGCTAAATCCTTCATCAACCAGCATGGTTAATCAAATGGGTCCTTGCAGTTTTTTCWGTTGACACCTTCTGTTTTGCTAAATAGGATGCTAGTTCTTGAATACTTGTCAGCTTTCTAGAACTAGGAGCTCCACTGAAAATTTTGTTCTCTTATTTTTGGCCATCTGCTAACATTTTATAATTGCAAATTCCAGTGAAAATGTGCAATTCCTATTAATTAGAGATGAAGATGGGGATTTTCACCTGCCAAGGAATATGTGTTTATGACTGGGGATTTTCGTCCCGAATCCAAGGCATTTGAGATCTTGTTTGTGGGATGCATGCCCATGTTCATGATTTGGGCCATTACTAGTTCAATATATGTTCTTTTCCATCTGCGAAGGAATATGTGTAATGCCTATTGTACAGTATTCGGTTCTAGGGCTAAAGTACAACAAATCAGATGGTGATTGTTGTGATTGTGTTTTGAATTCCAGTTGCAGCCTGCGCCATGATCCAATCCTACTTTTGTGGTGAAAATCCAGCAAAGAAAAATTCATTGAGGTCTGCGGTGGATGCAGAGGGCTTGGGTTTCATATATATTATATTTGTTTCTAGGGTTTGAAGCAAGAGAATGTTATACAAAACAGTTTGAGAGAGAAGGTTTTGGGTGTATAGGGCGCAAGGGTTTGAAAGAATCTGCTCATACTTGTACCCCATTGCTGATTATAATGGATTCTTGCTCTTCCTATCTGGATGTAGGCTTAAATCCGAACCACGTTAAATCTCTCTGTGTTTTCTTGATTTGCTCTATTATGGTTTTTTGTTTCATTTGCTCTATTTATCAATCAGTTTCATATCTTCGGGGTTTTGGCACAACTGTGAAATTCCCTGTCCTTGTGCATTGCCACATGGAATATAGGTGATGACTTGATGTATTGTGATCCCATGTTGTTGAACAAAGGATCCCATGTTTGTATTTCGTAGGCGATATAATGCAATCTATAATGAGGATTGGTTTAATCTCGTCCTTTAGCAGATTGGAATCCTTGAATATAGGTGATGACTTGATGTATTGTGATCATCGTCAATTGGATCAACATTTGCAAGAATACATCAAAAGGTTAATATAAGATTAGGTGGACCACAAAGTGGAAAGTGTTATTAAAAACATAACGTTAGGCCAAATTATACTGGAACCCCAGGTCCAGCACAGCCCGCACGACCCGTGTCTTGTCGTGTCAGGCCGGTCCAAATTTGTGCTGTGTCATGGGCAATTCGATTCATTGCTAAACTGGGATGGAGAGGAGTTGGGGCATCCACGGGCATTGACAAAAATTTCTGGTGGTCCTAGAGTGGGCTTTTGAACTTAAAGGTGTAAAGTGGGTCATGTTGGGCCGACACGACAAGGCCCATGGACAGTTCGTGCAAAGTAAGGGTCGTGTTGTGTTGGTCCGCGGGTCGTCACGGGCTGTGCCGCCCTTCCCAGCGAAAAGTTTGTGGGTCAGCCCAACGGCCCACGGCCCAAGCCCGTGTTGGCTTGTACCGTGCCACGGGTTGGGCTGGCCCATGGGTCAAGCCTTGGCCCAAACTGGGCCATAGACTGGCCCATGGGATACAACTTTTCTGGATTAGGGTTGAGATTTTCTCAAAATTTCAATAAACTCAACTCGAAACCCAAACCCAAAATAGTGTAAAGTGTTAATTCAGGCCAACCCAACTTGCACCCCTAGCAAGAAGCAAATTGAAGCTGAATGGTGGGCAGTTATAGGAGCCATGGAGTTGTTATGAAATAGATGAACCACATGATCATTCTTCTTTTTGTTTGATGGAATCCCACGCTCTTATGTTTTAGTTTCTATTTCTCTTAGGCCTTTTGCTTGTTGAGTTTCATTTTTTTCATTTAATTTAGATTGCCTATTTGAGTAAATGCCTAAAATTTGTGAAAGATGTATTTGGTTGGATTCCAATGGAAAGCTAAACCATTCAAATGGCTACAAATAATTAATAAAGAGCTCGGAAATTCCTTACAAACCTACAAATCAAGATTAATTAGTCAGCTATATTTGAAACTCCAATCCAGCCAAACTACCTTAGGATCCTTCGTATGGAGCTGAATCAGTGATATTTGAAATTCTTGTCTCCCTGTTACAATTACCCCCAGTGTCGACTGGACACAAACTTAAGTCAAATCACTCGCAGAGAATTCCAAAAGAATTCAAGTTGGAGAAAAGATCACTCATAAAAATTAGTCTTTAGCGGTTAAAAATTCAAATGCAATTTACATACAATGACACAAGGAACCCATAAAACAAAAAATGTTTTGATACTGAATTATCCACTCCTTATGTGGAAGACTTGATCTCTACAAGTAATATTTGCAACAGAGATAAAAACTAAGTACCGCCACCTGGGTAGGGGTGTCAATTGGACTGGATTTGGTCCAATCCAGTTCAGCCAATGTGAGTCCATTACAAATGGACCTGATTCAATTCTGTTCAATGAATATTTTGGACCATTTTGGATCGATACAGAGACTGTTCAATCTGTTCAAATTCCTGTTAATTTAAATTGGTTTCAACTCAAACCTGGTCCATTGGCACCTATGTTCTTATCTTCTATCAATGGACCAGATATTTGCTCAACCCAATATAAATTCATTATGGATGGACCAGGTCAATCCAATATGTCATATTGGTCCATCCAATCTGTCCAAATTCAATATATCTTATTCGTCCATCCAATTCGTTCAAATGGATTTTGATTTGGATGGAGTCCAACCCAAAACTGGTCAATTAACACCTCTACACCTGGGATACACATTATAATTTGGCACCTACTCTTCATAGCCCTTGAAGAAGAGATAAACTTTGCTAATACCGACCAAATAGTGAGGGACCCTAAAAACCAGAACCTCAATTATAATGTTTGTTGATGCCAACCAGTCCAAAATAGCAAACCAGTATCTCCCTTTAATTGCTTCTAATGAATAAAAACCCCTTTGATATAGCGCGATTTGACTGCTCCCTGCTAGAGGTGACCTGGCTTCTAGTCAAACGACGGACTAGGTTGATCTGCAAGAGGATGATCAGAGAACCCGGGGTGGTTAGCCCAGCGAGGTCGCTCCGATGCTTAAGTTAGTATACTTGTTGCGAGCTGAAATAGCTTAAGAATGTAGAGAGCTAGAGAGCAGAGTAATCACACGTACCTTGTGCCCTCGAGGTTGAAGCCTTTAAATAGTGGAGTCCTTACGGGTTTCACGGAGCGGTTCTAGGATCCTCGTCACGATGAGATCCGTTTCCGCATTAATTGAGGGATAAAGTTGTCGTCTGATAAGGGTTATCAATTCCGCCCGAACCAGGCGAGGAGGAAGATAAGGCTTGCCGTTACGAGGCATAATCCCGTGAGGTTCAGAATCTGATGACGAGATTTTCGAGGTCACCATGTAGTGGTCTGTCAGTATCCCCAAGCTGATGCTCTTTAGTTCCGAACTGGGGTGAACGCCGAAGTGCCTTGGGACTGAGGTGATCCTGATGCGACCTTATACCGATGTGACCCGTGCCGAGGTGGTTTGATTATCCGAGCTTGATCTGTTGCGGACTTGGTATGTCGGGCTGAGCCGTCATCTATTAGTCAGGTCGTGTCCACATGTCCCCCTATTACTAGGTCGGGCCAAATCACCCTTCATCAATTGCCCCCACTCCCCGAGCCAGGGGTTCTGACCTGGTGCGGGGATCATGACGAGTCTAGGTGGATTTGGCAAGAGGTCTAGGCGGTCTGTCGAGCGGATCAGTTGGTTGAACCTATTCGAACTTCTGGTTTAACAAGCCGTAGCCCAGGTCGCGTTAGGTGTACGCGCGGACGTCACGCTGTTTATGGACTCCGCGGACATAAAAAACGCGGTCAACTGATTTCTTCCTTGGGCATCGTGCAATCGGTTTTCATGAGAANAGAGGTCTAGGCGGTCTGTCGAGCGGATCAGTTGGTTGAACCTATTCGAACTTCTGGTTTAACAAGCAATAACCCAGGTCGCGTCAGGTGTATGCGCGGACGTCACGCTGTTTATGGACTCCGCGGACATAAAAAACGCGGTCAACTGATTTCTTCCTTGGGCATCGTGCAATCGGTTTTCATGAGAACCGTTGGATCAAGCAGATCTCAACTGTTGATCGCCTTGTGGTGAACTATAAATAGGGGGCCGAGGGACCCCTCTTCCTCGCCAAAAATTTTGTGATTGAGCTCTCCCGAGGTGATGTCGGAGTCTTTCAGCTCGCTACTTCCTTCTTTTATTCTGAGGACGTTCTTCTTTTGGTGAGTTCATCTTTTCTTAGTTTGTTCTCCTTTGTTGTTCTTGTTTTAATCATGTCTAGTGTTAGCATAGATAGGCTCTTAGGTGAATCTAGTGAGTCGAGGCTTGGGATGAGGGACCGTCCTCCAGAGAGGAGGTCCCATCTTCTTCTCGGGGTCGGGATCCGAATGACTTCGGTCCTTCTACCTTGACCTCGGATAGGTTATTGTCTTTGGTAGCTCGCTACCGTCTCCCTGATAGCTTAGTTTTTAACGTTCCTTTAGGTCAGTATCCTTGGGCCCACGATCACCATGAGCTCGCGGTTTTTGAAGAGCAGCTCATAGCCAGGCTGCGCTTCCCGCTCCACCCATTTATCATAGAAATAGTCAAGTTTTTTAACATCACAATTGACCAACTTCACCTGAACTCGATCCGTACTATAGTAGGTACCATCTCCTTGTTCCACGAATACAACCAACCTCTGTTCTTATACATATTTACCTCGATCTATTCAATCAAAAAGAACTCCGCTTGTCTGTGCGGGGACGTTCGACAAAGTTACTACATCTATCCTCGCCCCGGGTTTAAAATCCTATTCGGTAGCCCGAACTAAGTACCGACCTGGAAGAGAATGTACATTTTTGTTCGGAATCCTGAGGGATGGCCTTTCCCGATTCACTGGAGGGTGGCTATCAAAGATCGTGGGGTGAGCTTAGACGCGGAGACTAGGGCGGTTGTTAACTCTTGAGGGACCTCGGCCTGGAGATGAAAGATTTCTTGGCCAAGGAGAAGCTTGTGCGAGCTGGACTAAACCCTCCTGGTAGGTCTTCACCTCAGTACTTACCTACTTTATGTTTTTCTTAGTTCGTGACTAACCATTTCTTTTCCTCTTGCAGTAGCCATGCCGGAGGTCGATGCTGAGAACCTTCTAAAGAGCTTCCAGAGAAGTGGGAAGAAGAGGAAAGCTTCAAAGAAGTCTCGCTGGGAGGCTAGTCCTTCTACTCCCGTTCCATCCGAGGTCCTTGCGCCGGAGCCGATCTCTACCAAGCTCCCGGAGGAGGAGGTCCGCCCTCAGCCTCCCATTGTGGACCTCGATGAGGACCAGGACGAAGGCATTCCACCTCATGACCCGAAGAACACTTCCGAGCCCGAGCCCGAGCCCTTGAAGGAAAGAATAATGACCCCTTGGCTCAAGCTGCTCAAGAGTAAGGATGTTGTTTTTCCTGCCGAGGTCGTGGAGTGGGCTGACATGCCTATGAGTCAGCTCGAAGATCGGGCTGCCAGCTATTGCATAGTGGTGAGTACTTTTCACTTTACACTTCGTTTCCTTGTCTGCCTTTAAGTGTACTTACCTCTGTTTCCTTTGTTAGGTGAACTCCGCCATTCATTCGTTGGTTTCCTAGTTTGAGATCTGTCTAAAGCAAGCTTGGGAGGCCGAAGAGAAGGCAAGGAAACTATACCGCGAGCTGGATATAGCTCGGGGTGAGGTTCTTCGGGCTAAAAAATGAGCTCGAAG